ATGACTGACACCTCACTTCATTTAGATCTTTCAGTGTTAGGAACACCAGCAAACATATACTTTTCAAAATGACGTCCTTTGCTTCTTTATCCCTTTATCTGGCTTTATTTATATTCACAGTAGTTTTCATTATCTAACATACATACTTCTGACACACACATGTTTGTGTGCATATGTTATCAATTTGAGTTGCAATCCTGCTCCAACAGAATAAAAACAAAGTTTATAGGTTGTGTTGTTATTCTTGCTTTGTCCACCTTTTTCCAGTTATATAAACAGTGCTTTGTAAAACCAACAAAACAAAACAAAGAAAGGAAACTGTGAAAAAAAATGGAAACTCTGTGATACATTAATCACAAAAATATATTTAAAAATACTTAAGGTTGAAAATACAGATAACTTACAAGAGAAGCCTAGAAGAATAATAGCAGATATCACAACAACAACAAAAAACACAAAAACAACGTGGGTCTTGAATGATGTATTTCAAGAACTAAATGTAAAAAACAGCGAAGCCAGAATACAAAGGAAAAGGAAAGTCATTCCAAGATAAATAAAAACTAAAACAATTTATGTGCAATAAACTAGAACCACAGATGATGATACTCAGACATTATTCACTCACAAGATTGAAAGAACATGGGGCTGGGAAGGTGGCTCAGTGGTAGAGTGCTTGCCTTGCATGCATGAGGCCCTGGGTTCTATTCCTCAGCACCCCATAAGCAAAAAGAAAAAAGCTGGAAGTGGCGCTGTGGCTCAAGTGGAGTGCTAGCCTTGAGCTGAAGAGCTGAGAGACAGTGCCCAAGCCCAGAGTTCAGGCCCCACGACGGGACCAAAAAAAAAAAAAGATTGAAAGAACATGAAACAAGCAGAGAAAACAGATCCTGCCAGATGAGCAGATAAACATGAGGAAGAGAAAGAGAAAACTCAAATTGGGATAAAGATGACAAAACCTACTGCATAATTCTCAATTTTAATACTCAATACTAGTAGATTCAATTCTCTAATTCAAAGACATAGAATGGCAAGTTTTACCAAAAGACAAAGCTCAACTATTTATTGTCTACAGCGACATATCCAACTGAGAAAGCAAATACATCCTTAAAGTAAAAGACTGCAAAAAAAAAATGTTCAAGTAAACAGACCTTGCAAACAGGATGGAGAGTCAATAATCATATTCAATAAAGTAGATTTCAAAGAAAAATTTAAGAGAATAGATAAAAATAGGCCACTTTATATTAATAATGGTAACCATCAAGAAAACATAACAATCTTAATATACACCAAATAGTGGAGCACCAAACTATGTAGAAAAAACACTACTAGACTTAAAAACACACAGAGACTTACACAATAAGAATTGGATGTTTCAACACTCCACTTTTACCAATGGATAAATCATAGGTAAAAACTCAGAAAGAAACCTCAGATATAAATTACACTATTGACCAATAGGACTAACAGAAATCTATAGAATTTTTCATCCAGCAGCTGAACAAGCATCCTATGGAATATTCTCCAAAACAGATCATAGTGCAGGCCAAAAGTAAGTCTCAATAAATATAGAAAAATTGAAATAAGCTCTGCATCTTGTTGAATCAGAATAGATTATTAAAAAGACTAATATTATATGTTAAGTGAACTAATTAAAGCCCGAGCAACAAAAAGTTCATGTTTGATATCAGAGGTGGAAGGTAGATGTAATTTAAAACATATATAACATATACAGGGTAAATGCACATATACAAAAACATATTGACTGAATTATGCTATGTATAGGGGAGGATTGCAATTTTATGTGATTCCTTCAAAGAACAAACTCACAGTTTCACAAAATGATGCTGAAACATATGTTAACAAGAAGGGGGAAACAAGGAGCGAGAAAAATTGAAATAGGAAGAATGAGTAAATACAATCATAATATTCAATGTACACATGTAAAAATGGAACCAGGTAACTTGGGCTGATGGGACATGTTGGGAGAGATAGGGGAAACTGATGGATGGTTGACACTGACCAAGATACATTGTACTTATAAACTGACATGTTGAAATGAAACCCCTTCATATAACTACTTAAATATAAAAAATTATGTAAACATAATAAGGATTTTAAAAATTCAATATGACCCAGCAATCCCACTTTTGGGCATTTACCCAAATGATCACAAACAAGTCCATATTAAAGCTACCAGCACAACTATGTTTATTGTAGCATTATTTACCATAGCTAAGATATGGAACCAACCAAGATGCGCCTCAGTAGATGAATGGATCAAGAAAATGTGGTATATATACACAATGGAATTCTATGCCTCCATCAGAAAGAATGACATTGCCCCATTTGTTAGGAAATGGAAAAACTTGAAAAACATTATATTAAGTGAAGTAAGCCAGGCCCAAAGAAACATAGGTCCCATGGTTTCCCTTATTTGCAATAACCAGTATATCTCTGAGACAAGCAGAAAAGGTCAGATAAGTTGTTAGGTTAAATGAATCCCAAGATAAGTATTCAAATTTTTTTTCTTTCTTGCGATTATTTCTAACATATTTATAAGATGATTTCTTTGTTGCTTTGTATGTCCCTCCCCCACAGTATAACCCCCTGCTTGGTATAATTTGTGGAGGGTAAGGACAAAAACAAACCGTTTAAATAGGGATACAGGTGGACCCATTGAAACAATGATATGTACAAGTCATTATGTTGAAAAATGAACTTTACAACTTTGGCGGGGCGGGGTGGGGGGGATGGAGGTGATGGTGGGTAGATGGGAACGGATGGGAAGGAGAAACAAAGAAGGAGGCAACAATGCTTGATAAGAAATGTACTCATTACCTTGCCCATGTAATTGTAACCCCTCTGTATGGTTTTTTCACAATAAAAAAATTTTAAAAATTCAAAATCAAGTCACCTAATTTTTTTTAATTTGCCTTTATTTTGGAATCAAAGCAAAACTCTAAATTTTCTATTTTGCAGTGTACCAACAATCTTCATGATTGTATTATTACTATCTTCATTCTATGCTTCAAATTAAAGACAACATTCTAGGCTTTCATTTGATCTTTTTCTTTCTTTTATTTTATTTTATTCATTTATTTTTAATTGTGAAAATACTGTACAGAGGGTTTACACATACATGGGCAAGATAATGAGTAATTTCTTATCAAACATTGTAGCCTCCTCCTTTGTTTCCCCTTCCCATCCCTTCCCATCCTCCCCCCGCATCTCCCACCCAATCCTCCCCCCCACCAAAGTTGTAAAGTTCGTTTTTCCACATAACGACTTGTACATCTCATTGTTGCAATAGGTCCTTATTTAAACGACTTGTTTGTTCCCTTCCCCTCCACAAATTATACCAACCTCAAATACAGTGAAAGCAGGGGTTATACCATGGGGGAGGGACATACAAAGCAACAAAGAAATAATCTTATAAATGTGTTAGAAACAATCACCTGGAAGAAAAAAAAACATCTGAATACATATCTTAGGGTTCATTTCCCTAACATCAACTTATCTGACCTTTTCTGCTTGACTCAGATATATACTATTTATTGCAAATAAGGGAAACCATGGGACCTAAGTTTCTTTGGGCCTGGCTTACTTCACTTAATATAATAGAAGACTTTGAAACTAATTCTTGGGTGAGGATTTAAGCCCATGGTAGAGAACTTACCTACTAGGCAGACAGCCTGAGATTTTGTTAACCAACACTACAAACACACAAGAACAAATAAAAGAAAAAAGTAAGAAAGAAGAAAGAAAAGAAGAAAGAAAAATTGTCAAAATATACAGTCCTGTGTGTGTGTGTGTGAGCACGCGTGCGTGTGCACCAGTATTGTAGCATATGGAGTGAACTCAGGGCCCAGTGCTGTGCTTTAGCTTTTTCATTAAAGGCTGGGTGCTCTATACTAATTGAGCCACAGGGCCATTTCTAGCTTTCCAGTAGTTAATAGGAGATGAAATCCTCAAAGATTTCTTGATAGGATTTGCCACAGAATCATGATCCTCAGATTCTCAGATTCCTAGTGGGATTCTAGTGAGCCACAGACACTTGGCTAGAAATGCACAGTCTTTGAAGAACAAAATTGGATACGGCACTTCAACTGATTTCATTTTTTTCTTTATAAATTCTTTGTCTACTATATTTTTATGGGGGGGGGGGGGGAAATGTGCCAGTCGTAGAGTTTGAATTCAGGGCCTAAGTTTTATCCCTGGGATTTTCTGCTCAAGGCTAGTAATCTGGCGCATGTGCCAGTTACACCTTTTTTGGATAGAGCTAAGAAGCTCATGTAGGTTCCTGCCCTTTCTAACTATGATCTTCAGATCATAGCTTCCTGAGTAGCTCAGATTACAACCAAGGGTGCTCAGCACATTATTTATGCTAGTAAGAATTGTATTAGGTTTTTTAAAGCTCATATTGAATGATAGTTGCAGAATTATCATTTCATGCCAGTGTTTTGTATCATACTGCTTTGAACAACCAGTCAGTAATATGTTCCAAATATACCAATACCCACAATTTTTTAAACTAAACAATATGGTACACTATCTGGCTATCAATCTGGCTAGAGGGCATTTCAAAGTGCTCTACTTTAGATATATTTAAGAGATATTTGGATAATTTTTTATAAAGATCCATTGTATTTGGATGTTTTTGAGACTGTGAAATAGTTTGTAAAGCTGTTTCAGAATGTGACTTTCCAAAAACATTTCCCTAGCCCTGCCTGTGGAGTTGAAGACAAGCGTGTTTTTCAGTGCTCGAATACTGCAAAAACATAACAAACAAAACATACATAAACTGTGCGGAACAGGGGCGGAGCAGATTGGGAATAAGGACCCATTATCCCCTGGCTTAACTAGCACATGCGCTGCCTGACAACACATCTGGGCGGAAGTTGTCCTCTGTGAGTGGGAATGTTTCCGGGTGGGACGCTGAGGAACCGACACTCGGTCACCTGGGATTGAAGCCACAGCATAGTGGAGCTTGGGCAGGCGTGGCCATGAGGTTCCGGGCTGAGATTGTGGACCAGGATTCTCTGGATCACTTCTTGGGTGAACTGGGAAGGCTGTGGGAACCAGGGGGACCGGAAAGAGGCAGAAGCTGGGGTGGGGAGGATCGAAGGGAGGGCAAGAGCAGCACTTGGCGTGGGTGAGGCCTGGTAGGGCACTGGGGGCCTCAAGGCTCCATGGCCTATGGGATGTTTCTGGAACTTCATTCCTAGAGAAGAGCTGAAGGATGCAGTGAGTGGGTGGGGGCAGGTTTAGGGCTGGGCGAGGCCTGGACCTGCATTGCGGAGATGAAGCATATACCTGTGGAAATTTCTGGAAGTCTGTTTCTGGGGAAGATGTGAAGGAGGCCAAGGGTGGGCGGGAGCAACTCTGGGGCTGGGTGAGACCTGGTTCTGTATTGCGGAGATGAAGGCCACTGCCTGTGGAAGCTTCTGGAACTCGACTTCTGGGGAGGATGTGAAGGAGGCCAGGGGTGGACGGGGGCAACTCGAGGGGTGGGTGAGACCTGGCCCTGCGTTGCAGAGATGAAGGCCTCTGCCTGTCGAAGTTTCTGAGGCTTGGTTGCCATCACGTGATCTCTTTCTCACTACATCAGTGGACATGTTTATCTCTCCTAGCCTTCTGTTTGCAGTTAGTGTGGCAAACCTATCTTTCAGTGCTGTGCCGTACATCTAGCAATCCATAATGGGCATGAATTGTATAGTGTCAAAGTAATGGTTATTCCCCACACCTGATTTTCTATGAGTGAGTGATAGCAGGAGCTCCAAGCCTCAAAAGTTTGTCTTGAAAATGGAATTACAGGCAAGAGGGTTGGGTAAGACCTGCTCCTGCAATGTGGGGATGAAGGCTGCTGCTCATTGAAGTTTCTGGAACTCGATTCCTGGGGAGGTTGTGAAGGGAGCCAAGGGTGAGCTGGGCAACTTGGGGGTGGGTGAGTTCTGCATTGCAGAGATGAAGGCCATTGCATATTGAAGTTTCTGGGACTTGATTACGATTCCATGATTTATACTCTCACCACACCAGCAGACATCTTTACCTCTCTTAGACATCCCTTTGCAGTCAGTGATGAACCTATCTTTCAGTGCTGTGCAATGACTTTATCCAGCAATCTGTAATGGTCATGAATTGTATAGTTTCAATGTAATGGTTATTTCGTGCACCTAATTTTCTTTTTAGTGAGTGATAGCAGCAGCTGAGAGCCTCCAAAGTTTGCTTCGACAAAAGAATTATGGCAACATGAAGAAAGTAGTTAACATAATCCTAAATTGCATCTTGCTGCACTTTAAGTTTTGCCCAGGTATCAATACCTGTACAATAGGGAAGGGGTGAGAAAATAATTTGTTCTTTTACTCATTGTTATAGGAGTCATTAACATGTTAGCGGACCTCACCAAAATCTGCATCCTCCACATCTGCCCAGATAAACTGAGTTTCATTCTTTTTGGAAACCCAGAAAGTGGAACAGTGAGCTTGTGGTGTGAGAGCAGAAAGGTGAGTAGGAACCCCAAACACTCTACACACTGCCTTTCTTTTTATATGTATATATTTTTAATTGTAAAAATACTGTACAGAGGAGTTACAGTTACTTGAGTAAGGTAATGAGTACATTTCTTATCAAGCATTGTTACCCCTCCTGTGTTTTTTCCCTACTATCCCTTCCCTCTCCACCTAACTGACTCCTCCCTCCACCACCAGACATTGTAAAGTTTGTTTTCAACGTAGTGTCTTGTACATCTCATTGTTAGAATGGGTCAACCTGTATCCGAATTTCAGTATTTTTTAATTTCCCTTCCTCTTCCCAAATTAGAAAAAAATGTATATAGAAGTTGCAGCCACCAGGGAAGGTGGCTCAGTGGTAGAGCGCTTGCCTTGCATGCATGAGGCCATGCGTTCGATTCCTCAGCACCACATAAACAAAAAGAAAAAAGCCAGAAGTGGCGCTGTGGCTCATGTGGTAGAGCTCTAGCCTTGAGCTGAAGAGCTGAGGGACAGTGCCCAGGCCCAGAGTTCAGGCTCCACGACTGGACCAAAAAAAAAAAAAAAAGTTGCAGGGCACCAGAATCAAATACATTGAAAACAGGGGTTATACCATGGGGGAAGAACATACAAAAGAAACAAAAATAAAAACATGATACATTATAAATACATTTAAAAATAGGAAGTAAGAGAAAACCAATTGTGTCCCTATCTTGAGGTTCGTTTTGCTTAACATCATTATATATGGTCATATGTACATAGCTTTTAACCTTTTCTGCTTGTCCTAGACATATACTGGTTATTGCAAATAAGGGAAACCAAGGGAACTATGTTTATTTGGGCCTGGTTTACTTCACTTGTATAATTTTTCCAAGTCTTTCCATTTCCTAACAAATGGGGCAATGTCATTCTTTCTGACGGAGGCATATATATGTCACATTTTCCTTATCCATTCATCTACTGAGGGGCATCTGGGTTGATTCCATACCTTAGCTATGGTAAATAATGCTTCAATAAACATAGTTGTTCTGGTAAGTTTACTATAGCCTTGTTCTTGGTGATTTGGGTAAATGCCCAAAAGTGGGATTGCTGGGTCACAGGGGAGCTCTATGTTGAGTCTTCTGAGGAACCTCCATTCTCCTTTCCAAAGTGGTTGAACAAGTTTACACTCCCACCAACAATGTAGTAGGGTTCCCTTCTGTCCATATCCCCTCCAGTATCTGTTGTTATTAGAGTCCTTGATTATAGCCATTCTAACTGGGGTGAGGTGGAATCTCAATGTTGTTTTGATTTGCATTTCTTTTATGGCTAGAGAAGTTGAGCATTTCTTCATGTGTCTATTGTCCATTCTTATTTCCTCTTCAGAGAAGTTTCTCTTTAAGTCTTTAGCCCACTTATGTATTAGACTGTTGTTTCTTTGAAAATTTGTTGTTGAGGAATTTAATTCTTTCAGTTCTAAGTATATTTCAGATATAAGACCCTTGTCTGTTGTATGGCTAGTGAAGATCTTCTCCCAGTCCGTGGGCTTTCTACTGATCTTGTTAGCTATGTCCTTTGCCTTCCAGAAGCTCTGCAGTTTCATGCAATCCCATTTGTCCAACCTTTCTTTGATTTGTTGTGTTTCTGGGTCTTTATTAAGAAAAATTCGGCCTGTGCCAAGGAGCCCTAGAGTTTCTGCTGTTCCTTCCTATAATATTTTCCGGGTGTCTGCTTTGACCAATTTGGAGTTGATTCTGGTGCAGGGTGATATATAAGCATTTAGCTTTAGTTTTATATAGGTGTTTAACCAACTACCATTCTATTTTTTTAGCTCACTTATTAAAATTTAAGTGGCTATAGGTCTGTAGGTTCATTTCTGGGTCTTTATTTCTATTCCATTGGTCCTCAAGTCTGTTCTTGTGCCAGTACCAAGCTGTTTTGATTACTATTCTTTGTAGTAGAGTTTGAAATTTGGTATTGATATCCTCCAGCACTGTTCTTTCTGCTAAGGATTGATCTTGCTATTTGGGGTCTTTTATTGTTCTATATGAGTTTTTGGGTTGCTTCTTCTATTTCATTGATGAATAAGGGTGGAATGTTGGTAAGTATCACATTGAATTTATAGAGAGCCTTTGGCGATATTGCCATTTTCATGATGTTAATCTTCTCAATCCAAGAGCAGGGAAGGTTTTTCCACTTCTTTAGTTCTGCTTTAATTTCCTTTTTCTAATTTTTAAAGTTTTCATCGTACAAGTCCTTCTCTTCTTTAGTTAACTCCTAGGTATTTTTTGTGAGACTATTACAAAAGAAGTTGCTTTCCTGATTTCAGCCACACTCTTCTTGTTATTAGCATACAGAAAAACCGGTGATTTTTGAGGGTTAATTTTGTATCCCACTAATTTGCCAAAGTTTCAATTCCACTCATGTAACTTGGGAGTAGAGTCCATGGGTTTCTTTAAACAAAGATCATGTCATCTGCAAAGAGGGAGAGTTTTACATCATCTTTCCCTATTTGTATTCCCCTTATGTTCGCATCTTGTCTTATTGCTCTAGCTAGGCATTCTAATACTAAATTGAAGAGAAGTAGAGAGTGGACATCCTTGTCTCATTCCTGAGTTTAGAGGAAATGGCTTTAGCTTTTCGCCATTAAGTATAATGCTGGCTGTAGGTTTGTCTTACAAAGCCTTTATTATATTGAAGAATGTTCCACGGATTCCTAATCTCTCCAGAGCTTTCATCATAAAGGGATGTTAGATCTTTACAAATGCTTTTTTCTGTATCTATTGAGATAATCATGTGGTTCTTATCCCTGCTCTTGTTGATGTGATAAATTATATTAATTGATTTGCATATATTGAACCAGTTTTGCATCCCTGAAGTGATCCTGTTTGATCGTGGTGTATGATTGTTTTGATGAGTTGTTGAAGCCAATTGGCCAAAATTTTGTTGAGAAGTTTTGCATCCATGTTCATCAAAGAAATGGGTCTATAATTCTCTTTCTTTGATGAGTTTCTGCCTGGTATTGGGATGAGGATTACAATAGATTCATAGAAATAGTTTGTTAGTGAACTTTCACTTTCAGTTTCATTGAAAAGTTGGAGAAGTATTGGAGTGAGCTCTGCTTTGAAGGCCTTGTAGAATTCAGCTGTAAATCCATCTGGTCCTGGGCTTTTCTTGGGTGGGAGGTCTCTTATTGCTGTTTCTGTTTTGATGCTTGATATGGGTCTGTTAAGTTGGTTTAAATCATCTTGATTTAGTTTGTGCATGTCAATATTTGTTAGAAATTCGTGCATTTCTTCCAGATTCTCAAACTTATTAGTATAAAGGTTTGAGAAGTATCCCCTTATAATGTTCTGAATCTTGGTTGTTTCTGTGGTGTTGCCATTCTCATCTCTGAGATTGTTTCTTTGGGTGTGTTCTCTTCTTTTTCTGGTAAGATTTGCTAAGGGTCTGTCAATTTTGTTAATTTTTCGAAGGTCCAGCTCTTTGTTTTGTTGATTCTATGTTTTTCAGACTCTAATTCATTTGATTCTGATTTAATTTTAATTATTTCTTTCCATCTACTGGATTGGGGTTTAGCTTGATGCTCTTTTTCATGGAGCTTCAGGTGCCTTGTTAAATTGTTGGTTTCAGATGTCTCCAATTTGTTGATGTAGGAACTCAGAGCTGTAAACTTGCCTCTGAGTACTGCCTTTGCCGTGTCCCAGAGAAGCTGGTGATTTGTGTGTTTATTTTTGTTAAATATCATGAACATTTGAATTTCCTTTCTAATGTCTTCCATGACCCACTGGCAGTTCAATAGTGTGTTGTTCAGCTTCCATGTGTTACAGGATTTTCTGTGGTGGTTTTGGTTTGAGTTCTAATTTTATTCCCTTGTGGTTTATTTATTTATTTTTATTTATTTATTCCATTGAGAGAATGCAAGGCATAATTTCAATATTCCTGAATTTAGACAAATTTGCTTTGTGATCTAAAATGTGGTCTATTTTGGAGAATGTTCTGTGTGTTGCTGAGAAGAACATGTATTCTGATGCTGCTGGGTGCAATATTCGGTAGATGTCTGTACAGTCTAGTTGATCTATCAAATTGTTTAGATTCGAGGCTTCTCTGTTGAGTTTTTGCTGGGTTGATGTATCCAGTGGGGATAGTGGTGTGATAAAATCCCCAATAATTAATGTCTTTGGATCTATGTAAGATATTAGGGAAATAAGTGTTTCTTTGATTAATTTTGGTGCTCCATTATTTGGTGAATAGATATTTAGAATTTTAATGTCCTCCTGAAGGACAGATCCTTAATTAGTATGTAGTGAGATTCTTTATCTCTTCTCGCTAATTTTTATTTGAAGTCTATTTTATCTGATATTAAGATTGCAATTCCTGCCTGTTTGTGGGGGCCGTTTGCTTGGTAGACTTCATTCCAGCCTTTCAGTTTCAGAATATGTTTGTTTCTCTCTCTCTCTCTTTTTTATTGTGAAAATACCATACAGAGGAGTTACAATTACATGGGAAAGATAATGAGTACATTTCTTATCACGCATTGTTGCCTCCTCCTTTGTTTCCTCTTCCTATCCCTTCTCATCTACCCCACCCATCCCCCTATACGCACCCCCCCCCCACTAAAGTTGTAAAGTTTGTTTTTCGACATAATGCCTTGTACATCTCATTGTTGCAGTGGGTCCACCTGTATCCCTATTTAAACGATTTTTTTTCCCTTCCCCTCCACAAGTTATACCAACATTAAATACAGTAAAAGCAGGGGTTCTATCGTGGGGGAGGGACATACAAACCAACAAAGAAATCATCATGTTAGAAACAATCACATGAAAGAAAAAACATTTGAATACTTATCTTGGGGTTAATTTCACCTAACATCAACTTATCTGTTTGTTTTGTGGGCAAGTTGTGTCACTTGAAGGCAGCAGATAGAAAGATCTTGTTTCTTGATTCTGTCTCTTAATTGGAGAGTTAAGTCCATTAATATTGAGAGTTAGGATTGAGAGGTTTTTGGTAGTTCCTTCCATGTTATCCACTTTCTTGGGGGCTGTGCCAATTGGGTTCTTCTTTTGATTCTAGGATTCTCTGCTTTAGTGCTGTTTCTTCACCTTTATCTTGCTCAGGTTGGTTTTCTATGTGTAAGACATCTTTAAGTATCTTTTGTAGGGCTGGTTTGGTAGAGATATATTGTTTCAGTTTTTCTTTGCCGTGGAAGGTTTTTATTTGTCCTTCTGTTATGAAGGACATTTTAGCTGGGTACAGTATTCTTGGTTGATAGTTGTTTGTGTTTAAGACCTGGCATATATAATTCTAGGCTCTTCTTGTTTCATTGTCTCTGCTGAGAAATATGAAGTTATTCTGATTAGTTTGCCTTTATAGGTGATGTATCTTTTCTTCCTGACAACTTTAAGGATCCTTTCCTTGTTCTCATTTGATCCTGTGTGGATTAGAATGTGATGGTGTGATGTCCTGTTCTAGTCTGGCCTATTTGAGGTTCTAAAGGCTTCTTGTATCTGAATGGGCATCTCTTTTTGCAATTTTATGAAGTTCTCTACTAGGATCCTGTTAAATAAATTTCCTAGACCTTTAATTGTTTTCTCTAGGCCCTTATCTATACCCATTAGCCTTAAATTAGGCTTTCTGATGTTGATTTCTATCTGTTGGATGGATCTATCATATTTCTCAGCTTTGTCTTGAATACTTGTCTGTTCTTTCTCTATAATGTCTAGGCTGTCTTCAATCTTAGAGATTCGATCTTCTGCATGATATAATCTAATGTTAAGACTTGCTACTTTTTTTTATTTCCTTTCCTTCTATTTGTCAGATCTGATGGCCTCAAGTTCTTTGTTTGAGCTTTGTTTTAGATCTTGTATGGACTTCTTTATCTACTTAATTTGGTTTTCAGTGTTCATTCTCCAATCCCTTAGTTGATTGGTTATAGTTTCAATGGACTCCTTTTCCTTCTGTTGGACTTAATTCAGCATAGCCTTTGTGGCCTCCATGGATTCCTCCAGCTTTCTGTTTGTGGATTCCATGAATGTCTCTATTAATCTTTGTCTATTCTTATTCTGCTCAAGCAATTCCTGTATTAATCTTTGATTAGAGTACTCATGCTCAGGAAATTCCTGTATTAATCTTTGTTTAATCTCATCACACTCACACATTTTCCTATAATGCTCACACAAGATGTTTGCAGGCTTTCAGTCTTTTCATTCAGCATGTTTACTAATAGCATTTGTAGAGCATTTTGGGAACTCTCCTCTGGATTATACATTAACTGCTCTGTTGCCTGATTATCATGAGTGGGCATTAAGATAACTGGACTTGCCATTTTTCTTGTGTTTCTCCGGCTTGTTCTACCCATTAGGGTATGAAAGCAAAACCAATTCTGGGCTAGAACACTATTTTAAGGCAAGCATTAACCAGAACCCTAGAGTTGCAAAGATTGTTTGACACAGTTTAAATGAGTATAGATACAATCTAGTTCAACAGACACAATCTAGTTCAACAACAATGGATCAATGGGCTAGGAAAGTCAAAGGAGTCAGCAGATCAGAAATTAATAGGTTTAAGGAGACTTGTGAGGAGAAAATAAGATTAGAAAAATGTGGGAAGGGAAAAGGAGAGAGGGAATTTAACCTAGACCCAAATTCAGAGAGGGAAAGGATAGAAGGAAAGGAAGAGAGATATATAGAGGAAAAGTTAAAAATTAAAAAATAATAAATGAAACACTTAAAATTAGATAAGTATAAAGAAATAATACTCCAATTAAAGGAGTTAAGGCAGAGAGTTTTTGAATTGAGCAGTCTATATCTGAATTAAGTGTGCGCGCAATGAAGGATAAGGTCTAATAATTGAAGACGGATATATATCTGGGGATGAACAGAACAGCAATTAAGTAAAGCAAAAATAAAAACAACAACAAAAAGACCAAAAAGGAAAATGTAAAAAGAGAATTAAAAAAACTAAAATAAAAATGATGAAAAAAATAGAAAACAATTTTAAATTTTTAAAAAAAATTATGTAGAGAAAAGAGTTCTTAGATTTTGAGGGGAAGGGGAGACTCTTGTGTCTCCCCTGTGTCCATAACCAGTCTCTTGGTGGAGTCTTTGGTTTGCTTGTGTTGTTTAGTTATCCTGTGGCTTTATTTGTTTCTTAAATTAGTTTGTTTGAGCAAGCAGTAAGTAGCTCTGCCTTACCAGGGACTTTATGACCCTCTTCTCAGGCTAGTTCTGTTGAGGGTATATCTGCTTTGAGTATCACAAAAGAGGGAGATGGATGTTTCCTCTAGCTTGGAGTTGCTGTGATGGGGCTAGGTTGTGGGTAGGGTTGAGGCCTGTCAGCAATCAGTAGCTTTTCCCTGAGGGTCTACCTCCTTAGACACTCACATAGCCCATCCTGGAGCTATTCTTGGGCTTTATGTTTACTGAGTTTCAATTGTTTTTCTTTTACTCCTCCTGATGCTAGGTCTGCTGCCTATGCTGCAGTTGGGAGGGGCAGCCTCTGACTCTGTTTATCCAGTGAAGAAAGTCACTCTTCTGTGGGTGGAGATCCCTTTGCCTTGGAAGGGCAAATTTCCCCTGGCTGAGCCTGGCAGGTCAGGTTCAGATTTTTGTGACATGTTGAATGGCTCCTATTGTCTTCTTCCAAGGCTGGAGTTAAGTGCTAATTTCTCTTGCCCTGGTCTTTGTCAGTATCAAAGATGGAGTTCTTCTCTGTGGTTGGGGGAGTAGCTACCTTTCCACCACTGCTTCCTGAGAAGGAGTGAATATATCTTGTGGATACTCACGCCTTTCCCTTGGGTTCCGGGATGTCCACGTCTGTGACTGTCTGTGGTCAGCAGGATGAAGATTTTGCTCTTGTCAGTTCTTGCTGGTGATGAGTAGAATCTGCTTGCACACAGCCTCTGGTGTCTTTGTCCATGGCTCTCTCTGTTGATATGGTAGTCACAACAGGAGCCTCTGCCACTGCCACAGACACCAGCGAGTGCTCAAATCTGTCTCCTTAACCAGACTGCCTGAATTTTCCCTCTCTGGACAAACTCTCTATACTATGATGGCATACTTGGTGTGACTCTTGAGCCCTGGACTTTTCACTGGAACACTAAAACAGGTTTCTATTCGAGAGCTTGTTTAGCCCCCAGCTTCCCCTTTGCCATCTTCCTTCACTCCTACACACTGCCTCTTGAGACTTTACAGATGCCTCTTTTCTTCATATAGGAGAACTTTTTCAGCACATTTGAAATGGAGGGCCTCTCTGTAGAAAATCATGAGATAAGTTTACAATTAAGTTTGGAAAAAGTATCTTCAGCCTGGAAAAGTGCACACCATGCAGAAGCCATGAAAGTCAAGCTGTCTAATAAACACTCTGGGAGCCTCAAGGTCTGTGTAAAACTGGTGAGTAGAGGAAAGTTTTCTGAAATTTCCTAAAATGGTCTTTGTCTAGAAGAAATATAAGTAGTTTTAAGCCTGGGATTTATACTGATAGATATGTTTAAAATTAAATATATGGTACATGCAGTTTATTATAGTTGGTTCTTGCTCCATGTTATTTTAAAATCATACAATCATACAATATTCATATTTCATGTTGCCTTTACAAACAGTAAACATCACATTTCTTTTAATAGTAGAAAAAAATTTCTGTTTGCAGTTCTGAAGTTTCTTTCTCCATCCTCATCTGCCTTTAACTATCCAGTTAAAGTAACACATTTGCCTTCTGTATGCCCCTGATTTATCCTTTCTAGTACACAAACCTGGTCTGTGGGGTCATCAGCATAGTATATTTGCCTTTTCCATCTCACAGATATATACACCATTCTCCTCTCTGCTCAAAAAACTGTTCTCTCATTCCATCTTCTCATGACTAACTGGATCTGTAGTTTCTGTGTCCGCTTGTCACAGTGTTCTCCCTCGCTCTCACAGTATACCTGCCATTTTCTCATTCAGCCGGGTTCCTACTGTGATTTCCTCAAGATTCTAGTAGGTGATGCACGTAGTTTTGTCTCATTGCTAATTCTTTTGTCCCACTAGAACATTCTGGATCATTTTCCCTTATTTACCACACTTGCCTGCTCCTTAGGTCCCAAACTAAAACAAGAAGAATTTCTATATAGGTTGAGTGGATTCTGAGTGAACGAATTGAGAACATTCCACTTAGATTTGGTATTTAAAATTTTTTACTCTTAGGTGTTTGGTTTGATTTGTTACACTATTTAGTATATGAAATATTTTAATTCTTTTTTGGCAGCGATTTTTTTCTGGCAAGAGCCGCATAGTGGCAGAATACTTCCCCATACAGTTTATCCCTACAAACTTTTGGAATGAAATGCAAGAGCTCACAGTTCCATATTCAAATGTAAGTGAAGCCTACAGTCCTGTTTTTCAATACCATTGATAGGAAGATATGAATTGTCTACTTGTAGTCTTGAAGAATATTTTATTGAAAAGCTGGGTAATTTCTGAAAAGAAAATGGTATTCATCTTTAAAAACTACTCTAGGAAAAGAAATCTGGATACTCGTCTTTTGTTATTTATTTAAATCATCTTTAAACATTGATATATAATCTGGCCACATACAAGATGGAATACCTTTCTCAGTAAGCTGGTGTTTATTAGGACTTTTGGGCTTAGGCACCAATTTAGGATTCATAGGACTTGATGCTAGGATGTGTATAGAAAACCACTATGATGACCAAGTTTGGGTTAAATGTTTACTTAGAGAAATCCAGGTTACTGGACATAAAGATGATGCTAAAGGGTCCATTGACTCTTGTTCACAATTCACTTAAGAAGAAATTAAAAGTATACAGTGAATAAAACACTTATGTGATTTTCAGTAGGAGACGTTTATACTAACTTATAAATAGTCATCATTTTTTTTTGTGCTGATACTGGGGCTCTATTTGCTTAAGGCTGGCAAACTACCACTTGTTCTACAGGAGAGAAGTATTGGATTTTCCTGGGATGCCTTATACCTAGGATCTTCAGATTTCAACCTCATATCATACATGTATATATGTATATGTATATATTTATATATATATATATATATATATATATGATTAGCAGCATCGAAATCTAGCCTCTTATGAAAGTTTTACTAACATATTCCCCAAGTTAGTTGCAGTAACTGCTTGCTGCATTTTCTTGTTGAGTGTGAAAAATGGCCCTGAGTCCTGTATGTTAACCAACCTGAGAGGAAGGCTTTCTGCGGATTATTAGGATTTATTTCCTCTGTCCCTGTGTATAGCTCTCTTAGCTGAAATTCTGTAGGTCTTCCTGAATGAAAAGAATGTCTTTGGAGGTATGGTTGCCTAGGTAACCAAGGGCAAGCACTTGATTTTGTTTTTGTGTGCTGATCCTGGGGCTTGAACTGAGAGCTTGGGCGCTGTAGCAATTGCTTAAGTATAATTGAACATTTGTAAGTTAGTGAAATGACACAGTTACTTTTTATATGTTAAAAAATTTTATCTGATGCCTGTGGCTCAGGCCTATTATCCTACCCAGGAGGCGGATACCTGAGGATGTCCTTTCAAAGCTAGCTGGGGCAGGAGTGTATGAGGATTTTTATCACCAGTTAACCTCTAAAAGGCTAAACGTAGATGTGTAGCTCAAGTAGAAGAGTGTTAACCTTGAACAAAAAAGTTCAGGAACTGCACCCAGGAGCAAAACTAAAACAACAGCATGAACAAAACTCCAACCAACAAACTAAACAACCCAACAAAACCTTTATTATGAAAGTAGTAAACTAGAACTTCAGAATTCTTGGCCATTCATTGTCACTTCTAGAGTATATTGATATTTTTAATACTAGTGATTTCCCTTATTGCTATTATAGGTTAGCATTTATTTGCCAGCCTTGGAGATTATGAAGAAATTTGTGAAAAAATTGAAACCAGTCGGGGATCACCTTGTAAGTCACCACTTTATTTTTTTTGGTTGTGGGGCTTGAGCTCTGGGCTTGGGCGCTGTCCCTATGCTCTTCAGCTCAAGGCGAGCTCTCTACCACCAGAGCCATATGCCACTTCCGGTTTTCTGGTGGTTAATTGGAGATAAGAGTCTCACGGACTTTCCTGCCCATGATGGCTTTGAACCGTGATCCTCAGATCTCAGCCTCCTTAGAAGCTAGGTTTGTTTACAGGAGTGAGCCACTGGCACCTGGCTACCACTTATTTAGGAAAGAACATTAACTGAGGTCTAGCTTGCATGGTTGTTTGTCCTGAGAGACAGCTTTCCTGTGAGTAAAGATATTATACTCCATGCTCCATGGTAATGTTCACCTCCTCCCTGAATCCATCTTTGTGGGGTCCTGGACTGGTGTTCAGACCAAGCTGCTTTACGGTGGCTGGAAGAAACCTGTTTCAACCCTTATTCACTGGAAAAATCTTTTCTATTTGTACTTAATCCTTCTTTTTTGTACTAATAATAAATTCAGGATATGTTAAATAGTACTAATGTTTTTCCCTTATATTTTGGACAGAATATTACATTTTTTTCCTTTTTATTTTCTTTTTCTTTTTTTTCCATGTGTGTTTGCTGCTGGTGATTGAACCCTGTCTCTTGTACATGCTAAGACAATGATCCAGAGCCATAGTCCTAGCCTGAGAATATTACATATCTTATGTGTACTTATATTTTTCCTGAATTAATTATATGAATGGCCATGCATGTCCCTCCTACCATTGAGTGATCTATAGCTCCTTTTTTCATTTTTTTTTTTGCCAGGACTAGGGCTTGAACTCAGGGAATGGGCACTGTCCCTGAGCTTCTTTTGCTCAAGGCCACAGCACCACTTCCAGCAAATTTTTATTTATGTGGTACTGAGGAATTGAACCCAGGGCTTCATACATGCTAGGCAAGCATTCTACCACTAAGCCACATTCCCAGCCCTCCATTACTATTGTTTTCAGAGTAACTTTTTGTGTGATTCAGTCACAACTCTTTACTTACTGTTTTTCAGAACTTTTAGGAGGTGATTTCATTTTACATGGGGACTAACACCATGTTTTTATACTATGTAATCCCCAAATTTTAAGACATACGGACCCTTCTTGAGATTCAGTCTTTTTTCTATTCACCTCGTGTACTCTTCTATCCTTCCACTCCTACTCTCTGTGCCAACAACAGTACCTGTTGGATTACAGGAACCCTTATCTCTCTACCTATTCCCACAGAGCAGTCATCTGTCCCATAGCCTGAATGTAAAGAGCCTTCTACTTCCTAGCCTCTCATTTCTTACTGAGCTTCTTCACTGTGGACATGCTCTCTATCTTTGTTGTATATGGAATAATTCAGAGTTCTCATCTCTTAGGACTTATCTCCCCTATCTTGTTGAAATTAGAAACGCTTGGTACCCTCTATGGTCTTCAGACTTTTTTGTCAGAGGGTGCCACCTTCTTATCTGGACTTGTGGAAGGTTATGCTCAATGATTTTCTGTTTTGTTTTTTGCCTTCTACATTCTAATACTATTTTATAACACTTAATTGTAGATTATTGAAGCAAACCAAAATGGAGAATTGAACCTGAAAATAGAAAGTGAATCATTAAATGTCACCATTTATTTTAAGAATCTTGAAAATCCTCCATTAGGTAAGCTTTCTTGTGGTGTATGTTTTGCTTATGATGAATTAACTTTAAGGAACCAAATACATTGAGTACATTTAATGTAGAAAAATGAGATTTAGTTGTCTCATTTTGAAACATGGAAGGAACTGAGCTTTGACTACCTGTCTGTATAGCATAATAATACAGGTACCCCCTAGGCCAAGGACCTGAGACACTAGGTCATTGATGGATCTTAACAGGAATTCTTCCTCTCTTCTAGAATTCAGCTTGTGCTAAATGACCTTCCTGTCCTTCTGTTTCTATAGTTCTTATTCTGTTCTGGACAATTTCAGTTTCTCACAATGGATTCAGCATGGACATATTTCTTTCACTTTTTAAATTTTTTAAATTTTTAAATTTTTATTTTTTAAGTTTTTTTTAATTGTGAAAATACCATACAGAGGGGTTACAATTACAAAAGCAAGGTAATGAGTACATTTCTTATCAAGCATTGTTGCCTCTTCCTTTGTTTCCCCTTCCCATCCCTTCCCTTCTTCCCCTGCAAACCCCGCCCTGTGCCAAAGTTGTAAAGTTCGTTTTTCGACATAATGTCTTGTACATCTCATTGTTGCAATGGGCTCACATGTATCCCTATTTAAGCAATTTGTTTTTTCTCTTCCCCTTCACAAGTTATACCGACATCAAATACAGTGAAAACAGGGGTGATACCGTGGGGGAGGGACATACAAAGCAACAAAGAAATCATCTTATAAATGTGTTAGAAACAATAGCAAAAAAGATTAAGTACTGATCTTGGGGTTCATTTCGCCTAACATCAACTTATCTGATGGTTTCTGCTTGTCTCAGACATATACTAGGTATTGAAAATAAGGGAAACTATGGGCCTATATTTCTTTGGGCCTGGCTTACTTCACTTTATATGATTTTTTTAGTCATTTTAATATCTCCAAAGTTACACTCCCACCAACAATGCAGTAAGGTTCCCTTCTGTCCACATCCTCTCCAGCATCTGTTGTTAATAGAGTTCTTGATTTTAGCCATTCTAACTGGGGTGAGGTTTTGATTTGCATTTCTTTTATGGCTAGGGAGGTTGAGCATTTCTTCATGTGTATATTGGCCATACTTCTTTCCTCTTCAGAGAAGTTTCTCTTTAAGTCTTTAGCCAACTTATTTATCAGGCAGTTGTTTCTTTGAGGATTTGTTGTTGGGGGATTTAATTTTTTTTACAGTGAAAGCAGGGGTTATACTGTGGGGGAGGGACATACAAAGAAACAAAGAAATAATCTTATAAATGCATTAGAAACAATCCCATGAAAGAAAAAAAAACATCTGAATACATATCTTAGGGATCATTTCCCTAACATCAACTTATCTGACCTTTACTGCTTGACTCAGACATATACTAGATATTGCAAATAAGGGAAACCATGGGACCTATGTTTCTTTGGGCCTGGCTTACTTCACTTAATATAATTTTTCCAAGTCTTTCCATTTCCTAACAAATGAGGCAATGTCATTCTTTCTGATGGAGGCATAGAATTCCATTGTGTATATATACCACATTTTCTTGATCCATTCATCTACTAAGGGGCATCTGGGTTGGTTCCATATCTTAGCTATAGTAAATAATGCTGCAGTAAACATAGTTGTGCTGGTAGCTTTAGTGTGGTCTTATTTGTAAACATTTGGGTAAATGCCCAAAATTGGGATTGCTGGGTCATAGGGGAGCTCTATGTGGAGTCTGTTGAGGAACCTCCATACTGCTTTCCAAAGTGGTTGAACAAGTTTACATTCCCACCAACAATGAAGTAAGGTTCCCTTCTGTCTACATCCCCTCCAGCATCTGTTGTTATTAGAGTTCTTGATTTTTGCCATTCTAACTGGGGTGAGGTGGTATCTTAATGTTGTTTTGATTTGCATTTCTTTTATGGCTAGGGAGGTTGAGCATTTCTTCATGCATCTATTGGCCATCCTTCTTTCTTCTTCAGAAGAGTTTCTCTTTAAGTCTTTAGCCCACTTATTTATTGGGCAGCTGTTTCTTTGAGGATTTGTTGTTGGGGGATTTAATTTATTGAGTTCTAGGTATATTTTAGATATGAGACCCTTGTCTGTTGTATGGCTAGTGAAGATCTTCTCTCAATCCGTGGGCTTTCTATTGATCTTGCTAGCTATGTCCTTTGCCATGCAGAAGCTCTGCAACCTCATGCAATCCCATTTGTCCAACCTTTCTTTGATTTGTTGTGTTTCTGGGTGTCTATTAAGAAAATTTCAGCTTGCGCCAAGGAGACCTAAGGTTTCTCCTATTCCATCCTGTAATGTTTTCAGAGTGTCTGCTTTGACTCCGAGGTCTTTGATCCATTTGGAGTTGATTCTGGTGCACGGTGATATATAAGGATCTAGCTTTAGTTTTCTACAAGTTGTTAACCAATTTTGCCAGCACCATTTAACCACTTTGGAAAGTAGTATGGAGGTTCCTCAAAAGACTCCACATAAAGTTCCCCTATGACCCAGCAATCCCACTTTTGGGCATTTACCCAAATGCTTACAAACAAGACCACACTAAAGCTATCAGCACAACTATGTGTATTGCAGCACTATTTACTATAGCTAAGATATGGAACCAACCCAGATGCCCCTCAGTAGATAAATGGGTCAAGAAAATGTGGTATATATACACAATGGAATTCTATGCCTCCATCAGAAAGAATGACATTGCCCCATTTGTTAGGAAATGGAAAGGCTTGGAAAAATTTATATTAAGTGAAGTAAGCCAGGCGCAAAGAAACATAGGTCCCATGGTTTCCCTTATTTGCAATATCTAGTATATGTCTGAGTCAAGTGGAAAAGGACAGATAATGTGATGTTAGGGAAATGAACCCTAAGATATGTATTCAAATGTTTTTCCTTTCATGCGATTGTTTCTAACATATTTATAAGATTATTTCTTTGTTTCTTTGTATGTCCTTCCCCCACAGTATAACCCCTGCTTTCACTGTATTTGATGTCAGTATAATTTGTGGAGGGGAAGGGGAAAAACAAGTCGTTTAAATAGGGATACAGGTGGACCCATTGCAACAATGAGATGTACAAGTCGTTATGTTGAAAACGAACTTTACAACTTTGGTAGAGGGGTGGGGAGGATTGGATGGGGGGAGAGAGGGAGGATGGGAAGGAATGGGAAGGTGAAACAAAGGAGGAGGCTACAATGCTGATAAGAAATGTACTCATTATCTTGCCCATGATTGTAACCCCTCTGTACAGTATTTTCACAATAAAATAATAAATAAAAATTTAAAACATCTCCAAATTTAGATTAGTGTGTATAAATGAAGAAGTAGAGACACTTGCTCATATTTTTCCTCTCAAAGGTTATAAAGAACTCCAGGATATGGAAAAAAAGACTTATTTTTTCTTTTAGTTTTTGGTGATTCTGTCTTCTCTGCCATGTATATTCATGTGTATGTCTTCAGGAAGGTGGGAGGAAGAACACAGAACTCGAGGGAAAAGGGTAAAATGTTCATCAGTGGAGCAACTGGACACTGATGAAAGTGAACTGTACATCTTGTGGGTGGAAACAGGAGGGAGGGACTGGGAGAGAATGACGGAACATATGATACAGTATGAAAGGTAGTGTACTTATTACCTGACTCACGTAAATGTAACTCCTCTATACATCACCTCTATAATAACAATACAGTAAATTTAGAAAACATATGGTTTCAGTTCAGTCAGCAGGGAGAGAGAAGCAATCAGAACATTTGAAGTGTATTAATTTCAGATGGGCATAGAGTCACATGCTGAAGCATGGAAGCTGGCAGAGTCCATAATGGAAAGGCTTGGAAAAATTAGGTTAAATGGAGTAAGTCAGTTCCAGAAAGACAAAAGATCCATATTTCCCTTATAAGTGGAAGCTGGATTTAGCTTACAAACTCATAAGTAAATATGTTGTGTTTTATCCAAGTGTAAACAGATGTACAAACTGAGATATAAGATTCAAATGAGATCTCAAATAGTGTAAATCCTTAGAAGGTCACAATTGAAGTTCAGCAAAATAAAATACCAGGAAGAAGGTGCTGGAACGGAATGGGATGGGGTCAAGAGGAAAGGGTAGAGGAACGAAGAGAAGAAGGGGATAATGTGGACAAGAATCCAAGGTATATCCTACATAATTAAGAAGAGGGAGAGAAGGGGTCAGTAGGGGAGGGATGGGTGAGAATGTTGAAAGGAATGACATTGATCTAGATATATTCATAAACTAATACGCTAAATGAAAACCCTTTATAATAACAATTTTTTTGTCAGTCGTGGGGTTTGAACTCTGGGCTTGAGCACTGTCCCTCAGCTCCTCAGCTCAAGGCATGCGCTGTACCACTTAAGCCACAATGCCACTTCCGGTTTTCTGGTCGTTTATTGGAGATAAGAGTCTCATGGACTTTCCTGCCCAAGCTGTCTTTGAACTGCGATCCTCGGATCTCAGTCTCCTGAGTACCTAGGATTATAGGTGGGAGGCATCAGCACATGGCCTTTGTACAATTATTTAATGATAATTTTAAAAATTAAAAATATGCATCAGTATTGAGAAAACAATTTTGTGATATTTCTGTTTACCTTGATAAATTATATGGGTCAAATTCAGAGTGTGACTTCAAGTGTATTTTCATATGGACACAAATGGGAACATAACCTTTCAAGGGAGTTTTACTGGATAGTGAAGGGTCCTTGTGAATCTATTTGATTAAAGCTCTGATATGGATGAAGTCAGTAATTTTAGAGGCATTCAAAGTTACATAGTACTCATAAACTTCTTTGTTTAATGACAACTCATGTACAACTAGTGAAAGATAATAAAAATATTTTAAAAAGCACAAAGTGGGACTTTATTTTATTTCTTTTCCAGAAGTTGAAAGGCCAGTTTCTTTTTTGTCTCTTCTCCAGAGTAGTGAGAAGTCATGAATTAGCCATGTGCACGCTAGCTTTTAAAGCAACAAGGATTACCAAATTCATTTTTCTTTGACCTAGAGGAAAATCTGAGTCCCATTTCAACTCCCAGTAATGAATGATTCATTAAAAATTATCATGCCATTTTAATTACCTAGGATATAATAAATGTGTGTTTAGTGAGTGATGACATTTAGAAGCTGCAAATTTTCTGGGGCTGTTGAAAGTACAAGTAAGATCAATCATTGATTTAGGTAAATGTGTGTTGTTAATCTAGTGTTCCTGTTACATCCAAAGAGATGCTTAAAATCTTTTGTGTCATTTAGAAAATGACTCTGAAGACAAAGACCCAGAAGAGATGGCTATAGTGCATACAGATATCAAGCAGGTCCTTCACTTAATTACAGGAATTCGAGGGAATCCTACAAGGGCTGTAGTCCGTGAGTTTGTTTATGTTAATTCTTTTATTGCTATATCAGATACATTAGTTGTCATTAAGTTGAATGTTCCATTCAGTCTCATAAATGTGCAAACTAAGCTGTTAAATGTACTCCAGCTTTCTTGAGCTGCCAGGATTTTTAAGTTTTCTGTATTTAGAAGTGGCTAGACATAGTGGTAAGGAATCTTGAGGCACAGGATAAGGGAATGAGAGCCCATAGTTACTCCTGGTTGTGGGGTGAGCTGCTGCCTCCTCTTATTGTGATACAGGCTCTTCTGCAGAGATTCTGCATTCTTATTTCAAGCAGATAGTTTTGCTTAGGTCTGAGCTTCTACTCTTGTGCCTTTTTCCTTTCATTGTCCTCATGATTTGATCTCACTGCTTGAGTCTCTTACTTTGAGTTTGATTGTTAATGAGTGTATCTGGAGTCTATCATAGTCCTTATTCTGAGGGCAAGACCTGCCATGCATCTTCATCTACTGACTACCCTTGAGCTTCCCAAGGCTCTATTGTCTTTTCCCTGAAGGCCACATGACCTGCAGGAAACTGGCCTGGATTTGAATGTGCTACCTATGTGACTGGCTCTGCAGCTGACATCAGCGAGCATAGCTGAGAAGTATGGTCTGAAATGACCCATAAAATGGCACTTGTCAAAGAATGTATCCAGGCTGCTCAAAGTTGTTGGGATGGGTAAGGGTTCAAATATACATGTTGTAATAGTCTGTAATTAGTGATATTTTTTGCAGATATTGTGACCAACAGGATTGCTTATTTTGAATTTCTTCATGAAAATTTCTCGTTGAAGTACATCATCCCAGCCTTGCCCTAGCAGCACGTCAACAAGATTCTAGAGGGCAGCCATCTGTGAGATGGCAGGAAAGGCAGTGCCCTGATGTGTTCTTCATTCTTCACTAACCTCATAGTCCCAAGAGCTCTGCACATGCTTCCTTCTCCCTTAAAATGTTTTCATTGAAAATGAATTAAAGAAACAGTTGAATAAAAATTTATTCCAGGTTACTCAGTTCTTGGTTTTGTTTTGTGGTGTCCTCCTTCTATGGCATTGAGAAAAAAAAGCTAGCCTAGACCTTTACATACCTTACTTTCATTTGTGCTGGTTCTAGTGTGAATTGATATCACTTTGCTGGAGTCCAGTTTATTTATTCTATTCAGAAAGCCTTGAAAATGTGAGTACACTTTGACTTAAATCTTCTTGCAGAAAGATTATAATCAGAGATTGTCTCATACTCTGCTATGGAAAAAAATTGAGAGGTTCTAAGTATGAATTGGTTAGTTGATCTCTGTGGTTTTATATAATATTTCACACTATATAACATTGTTATATAACAAAAATGTACTGTTATAACAATATGAATGAATGAATGAATTAATATAAACTATTTAATTCAATTTGTATGCTGATATAGTGTAATCAAAGAAGATCAGGACAATATACACCAAACAGTTAACTTGGCTATTTCGGAATTTTTCTATCCATGTACACTTGTGTATTTTTAATCATTTTATCTGTTGCATAGTAAATAATATTTCATGTGACCATAAAATAAAAATTTATCATTTGAATGTTATTTGAATATTTATTACTAGAACATATGCAGCTTTCAATTTTAGTGAACATTAGATATTAAGTTTCATTTTTCCATCTCATGATTTTTTTCAATGAATCAATAATTAAACTTATATGTCATGTTGAAAATATTTCACATACAGTACTTCGACTGATAATGCAACAGCAATATGCTGTAGAATGTTTCTCTTACATGACTAGTGTGAATGTTAGTCACCTTCTGTTACTGTGAAAAAAAAACTTTTACTTTTGGACATTTGAGGAGGTCATACTTCCAGGTGGAATATTTTGGCAAACTGGGGATATTTTCGGCTATTACATTTTAAGTTTGATTCCTCTCGTTAGCTATTATATCCACCTTTTTATGTATATTAATTATTTTTTTCTTTCTTAAAATTTTTATTTTATTATAAAGATGCTGTATAGAGTTACAGTTACAGGAGTAAGGCAATGAGTACAATACTTGTCCATCATTGTTACCCCTTCCCTTGTTGTCCCATTATCCCTTCCCTCCCCTGCCTCCCACACTCCTCCCCACTACCCTCATTCCCCTACCCCCAATCTCCCTACTCCTAACCCTGCCCGAAATTATAAAGTTCATTTCCAATATACTCTCCTGTGGGTATCTTTGTTGTAACGAGTCATCCTGTGTTCTTGTTTCAGCATTTTTTTAATTGTGAAAATGCCATACAGAGGGGTTACAATTACATGGGCAAAGTAATGAGTACATTTCTTATCAAGCATTGTTTTTTTTAATAGAATGCTTATGTTCTTTTAAATTCCTTACTATATTTTGGATCTTTTTAATGTTACAAAAAAGCTTAGAAATACTTTAGTTATCCTTTATGTTTAAATTAGATTCATAAAAGTGCAAATGTAATTGCAATGCCCACTATACAAACATAAAATAAAGTCTTCGGAGCATTCTTGTATTGCAAGGAAATATTTATAGTTTGGCATGACTGGCTCACCTTCATTATTGCTTTGATATAGCCAATGAGGCTTGAAGATGGGACTACTTCTCTTCAGAAAAGGCCTCTCAGAGCCCAGTGATCATCCCTGCCATGTGGTTATTCCCACTTCTATAGATATCACAGCACTAGCTCTGACAATAAAGCTACACTCACTGAGCAGTGGAGAGACAAACTTCTTAAGAGGGTGTGTGAATATGTTATTGGCCAGTTGAGTTTGGTGTGGGAGAACCCTAAGTATTGTTTGTATTCCTATTTTCCCAGGAAGCAGTCATCACATCTCAGTCATGCAGACTCTTGATCCTGGGCACTGGCTGTTACTCAACTTGTCTCTTGCTGAAACCTCCCCTTTACTACTGCCTCTTCCTAGTGGGCAACATGGAAAGTGGTCATATTTCTACTATTTTCTCTTTTTCATGGAATTGAGTACATGTTTATAATAAGGAAAAAACTAAAAGGTTGATTGTTGTCTTTTAAAATTACACATTTCTGAATTGTACAGATGGTATGGTGAGGGTTAGAGGGGAAGGTTGATATACAGGGACTAGTGCATCCATCTGAGGTTAGGAGGTATGCAGGGCAGAAACTGCAACATAGGAATCCTGGAAATGTTTATTCATCTTACTTTTGTGTCATTATTGGGGCTTGAACTCAGGGAATGGGATTTTTGTCCTCAAGGCTAAAAAATCTATCTCTTGAACCATAGTTGTACTTCTGGCTTCTCCTCCTCCTCCTCCTCCTCCCCCTCCCCCTCCCCTCCCCCTCCCCCTCCCTCTTCCCCTCCTCCTCCTTCTCCTCCTCCTCCTCCTCTTCCTGTTTGGTTATTAAGTTTGCTCAGTGGTTTTTTGAATCAAGGCTCTAAGAGATGACTCTTCAAGACCTTCCAGCACAGCCCTTCCTTCTCACATGTAGACATTCAGAATCCAGAGGTCGTTTGGTCCTTGATTTAGGTGCTTCCGTGACATTGACTCTTGAATACTTCCAAATGCTAAATGTAAAGACTTTTGTCCACACAGACACACATACACATGTTCCTGCCACATCACCAAATCACCAAATCCTCACCAAATCACTTAAACTCAGATTGTGTTTGTGTGTACAAGGCACTGTGCATCTGTGGCCATCCATACATCTAGATGCCTATGACAGAATAATAGCAAGTTCTGACAGGTCAGAACAGGGTTCATAGCACTGGGAGCAAGGATCCTAGACCCCCAAAGATAGGAACATTGCTGGGGGAACAAAAGACAGGACCATGTGGGTAGTTGATGTTTGTCTCCCTAACCCCAGTTGTGAGGGGAGAAGAGGGTTATACAGCCAGTAAATGTGGCCTGAGACATATAACACTAGAACAGGGAAGAGTAAGTGCTTATGTTTATGTTGTAGGTGCTTTGCAGAAGGACAGGAGAGAGGAAAGGAGAATGAGGCAAGGCATGATGACACACATATCATGACTCCTGCAGAGACCATAGACAATCTACTGCCTCCCAGGCCACAGAAGGACTGTGACTATCCAAGACTCATCTGATACATAAGGCTTTTCTGGGCACACAAAAGACAGCTAACCCCAAAAAGAAAAATGCAAAACAAAGGCTCCTACTAAACACAAAATACTTCCTTCTGAGCTGGTACTGGCTCAACAGGTCTGGCTCTTCAGGTGACAAAGTACATACAATACACCAAGATATGGAAAATGATTGGAGTGAGACAAGGAGAGTTAGGGACAAGGGCAGATGGCCACACCCAGCCATCTTTCCCTGGGTAACACCTGAGGCCTCCTGTAGGCCCATGGGACCACTGGCTGCAGGAATCACAAGGCAAGGAAGGTGGCAGGAACAACACTGGCCCCTCATTGGTCCTGAGCCTGCTACATAGCTCACACTGGCTCCACTCCCTGGTCCAGCTCCATGTCTTGAGATGGAAGTTCCTCATCTCAGCTCTATAGTTCTCATGGCTTATGGGCTGGTAGTCCCAGGGCTCACAGAACTCTGGGTACTGTGGGTAGAACTCTCGGTAGCTACTCTCAGGGTATTACAGGGTAGTCACTGGCAGTACCGTCCCATTCCCTGAGGAATTGACATTTGTGAGGCCCCTGCTCAGATGAAAATTCACAGTGGAAAATGAAGATGATTCTCTAGTCTATGTTACAGAGGGCCATAGGGCTCTGTAACATGTGGGTCTCAATATCTCATTCCAAGGGCAAGTTCACAGCTGACTTGATGTGTCCATCTTCATTTCATAGGGGTATCTGTAGTCTACAACTATGAACTTTTCCACAATGTTACTGAACTTGCCCATCAACAGTACCACCATAGTTTCTGGGGTCAGATGTACTTGAGGCCTTGATGTTTTTCATCCACAGAAGGAAGGCCTTGGAGTAATCTCCATTCACTGTCTAGGATGCTCTCAATCTCATGACACAGGGACTTTGAGTAGAGGATATGGGCTTTAGGTTCTTTAGGCTGCTGCTATTCCTTTAGGAGGGTCAAACTCCTCCTCTGCTTGCTCTACACAGATGTGTCCTTGTCCTGGGGCCCATCCAGTCTCTTGAGGATGGGCCAAATTATAATATAGGGCATGGGTGGAGAGCAGAAAAACAACTGGCACTTGTTGAACATGATCTTACCTGTTTTCCTTCCAATGTTTTGACCAGTAGAGCACTAATGAGGCTCTCCATACCTGAAGGAACAGTGGCATCATTCTTTAAGTCATTCTCCAGGATGTCCATGATCCCATCATCATCCTCATTAGACCCTTCAGTGGGGATTTGTTCCCCTACCATCTTCTGCTCTGGAGTGAGACAAATCAGATTAGGGTCTGAGTTTGGTCTCTGGGCAAAGGCCTCCCTGCAGCTGGCCATGGCCACCGAAGCTTGGGCGGAGCTTGCCTGTGTGGGCCTCCATGGTATCTTGAAGACAAATCGATCATTTTCTTTGTCATTCTCTGAGTTGTTGGCAGCTGCATCACATGCCTCACTCTTCTTCCAGATGTCTGGGGTTTGGGAATTGGTTATGTTCTGTAGCATAGGGCTGTGGCCCAGCAGCCTCACCAGCAAGGACTGAAAGCATCTTATGGCAAGTTGCTCATTTCGAATGACTCTGCTGGCTACCTGGATAGTCTCTTCAAATGCTTGCTATGCTATCTTGGGCTGGGAGATCCATGCCAAAACCTGCATCTGAAGATTCTGAGGACTGGGATGACAGGGAAGATTCAGATGTGCTCCTGGACAGGAACAGCCAGCTACAGAAGTCAGGTTCCCTGCCATACACTTTG